CTTTAAGTAGTAAAAGGTAGTCATTATGCATTCAATAAAACTTCATTGACCAGACTTCTGTAATTCAGACTTTATAGTATTTAGAATGAAAGAAATGAGGTTAATTCTTGTATTACCTGGGAAAAGAAGATGTCCACACTGCAAAGGTAGAGGAAAAAAGGGGATAACAATCTTTTCCATCTTTTAAAAAACAGTGTTGAAATTGCTACCTAAAATCAGATTTGACAAAAACACTGTCTCTTGGTGTTCTCTTAAATTTTCATCCTGAAATGAGTCATGCTCACCACAATTTACTTTTTAAAGTTGCCTGACATTTTTAGATGGTTAGCAACTCAAAAGCCCTTAGGCTCGGATAATTGAAAAATATTTGGGGATGGAAAAGCATATGATTTGAAAGAGATTTCTTTGAGAACCCAAAGGGGAACTTCGGCCCAAACAAAATGGAATTGCCTTTCTTATGCAATTATTTTAATTAAAAATGCATGTGCAGCAGGACAAGCAATGTGATTTTAGACACCACTCCTTATAGTTTGGCTGGTTGTTTAAAAGTTGGAAGCTTTTAACTTTTCCCCTTAAATATTTAAGCTTTGTATTGGATCCTAAGTGCTTTCTTCCTATTCTGACATGAGTGCCTGCTGTAGAAATCACAGGTCTGTTCCACCCAGTAACACATGTTATAATTGGAGCTACATTGTCCTCACGTGTAGTATGGAGTTATTCTGATTCTTAGTGTTTCCCCTCACGTCTCATTGCCCTGTTCACCTAAGCAGGGAACAGATATTCACCAGTGTCTATGTAGAATAAAGCATATCATTTATATTCATCCACTGATTAGCAGCAGCATCTTAATTTTTTTCCAAAATAAAAAAGTCATTTCAGTTATAAGAAAGCAAATTACTGATTGCAGAAAATTCCAACTATCAGAAAAATGGAAAAAAGATAATAAAACACACCTGCAATTCTACCATCTGGAGATGACCACTGTTCACATTTTGATGTGAGTTCATCTGGGCACCTCCATGCATGCTAACACGACTGGATACAAATTTATTTAAATGAGCCTATTTAAATGCATTGTTTCATTTGACTCCTTTAAATAGAATTGCTGTTCTGTAACTTGCTTTTTCAATTAAATATTTCATTATCCTGTGTCAATAAATAAAGATCTACATCACTTTTTAACAGTTGCATAGTATTTTCTTACATGGCTATACTATAATTTAGTTAAGTGTTCGTATTAACCCATCATCTAGATTGTTGCTGTCTTATACTATTATAATAAACATTGCAAAGAATAGATTTGTGAAGACATTTTGTATTTTTTTGCCTCCTTAGATTTAAATCTTAGAAGTGTATCATTTGCATTTAAATCCTTCATCCATTTGGAACACGTTTTTGTATATACTGGGGACTTACTCTCTTTCCTCATAGGGTCAGTTAATTGTTCCAATGTCATTTATTAGACAGTGCATTCTTGCCACATTGATTTAAAATTGCTTTTATCTTATATTAATTGCCCATACAAATGGGTCTCTTCTATCCCTATGACTATGTCGTATTGACACCATTACCGTAGCAAGTTCCCAGCTGGAGGTTTAGACTTCAAACCTAGAACCTCTCATTTCTGTAGCTGTCTGCCTGCCACCTGCTGGGGTAAAGGTTCTGTACCCAGTGCACCTCAACGACACTGTTCTGCAGGATGAAACACAGTCCTCATGACAGCCAGTCCTGATTTGGACTGTAGTAAGTGTTCAGTAAATATTTGGCTTCAAGAACTGCCATCTGATAAAGTTAAGAAGAGGAGGGTTTATTGTTATATAAGGCTACAATATAAATCTTCAACAGCATGGCAGTAGCAGGTCTTTTATTGCCTTTAATTTGGGAATTAGAAGGCGTAGTAAATAATGGTCTGTTTTTCCAGCCTGAATTCTTAGCCAACTGTGAAGATAAAAGAGTAAGAAAGATAGCAGATGAAAATATGCATTTATTGCTGATCAAGCTGATATTGGAGAAGGTGGCTTATATCTGCAGGCAGGTGGCCTTCTGGATACTTTGCCTGAAAATTAGGCAGATTTTGATTTCACCAGCTGTGCTGGACCCCTGCAGACCACCATGGGGTGAGACGCAGGGGCAAAGAGCAAAGAGAATACTTGCTTTCTGTGGGCAGGCTGAATCCCAAGAGAAGGGGGCAGAGAGGGTTCGGCTCTGCAAACTCCATTTCTTCTTTCAAATCTACCAATCCCACTTACTCTCTGTCTTCCCTGTGAGAATATAAGCTTCCTGAAGACAGTTACTGTATCTGTCTTTTCCACTTTTTAAAAAATCTCTCAACACAGTATTAAGACATTGTAGGACTTCAGCGATGTATTTTGTAGGACTTCAGTGCAATGTAGTCTGTTCAGTACATTAATAAATGATTATTTTTGGTGAACTTACCTTCTTAATTTATTATTTTAAAATTACTATATCATAGGTTTTATATCTGTGAATTGATATCTTGTGATTATTTCCCAAATACACAAATGTAGAAAGAAAATGATAAATAACCATTGACATTTATGATTTATAAAACAACTTTTTGAATTTTCATATTTAAAAAAGACTAGTTAGCTCTACTTCATATACCTTATGGTAAAGCAAAAACATAGACTACAAAAACAATCTGGCCTTGACATATTTGAGGAGTTCTTTTATGGGGGAGGAAATCATTTTGTTTGTGTAAAATAGCAGTATATTATGTATATGCTGAAAACTTTATAAATATTTTCCCTTACCTCTTGGGCATATTATTTTTTGTTATACTTTCTTTAAATATTTTAATATTTTCACTGTTTCTTTTTGTGGTTTTAGGGATTTGTTGGTAAAAGCATTATTTATTTTAAAATACTGATTTAAACTGTTTTATTTGGTTCAACATATTTAAGTAAAAATTAAGTCTAGCTACCTGATTACAAGAGATGTTGGGATTTAATCACAGACTGCATTTTCTGGTTCATTCATTTAATAACGGCCAATAAAATTTTGGAGTGAAAATTTTAAGACTAAAAAGGACAAATGCACTAAGCTTTAAAGAAGACATTGGGATGGCAATGTGCAAAAAATTTATCCAATAGTGTAAATGTCAGAACTTGTTGCCCTTAAGTCTGAGGTGGGGAGCCACACGTGGTTTCCAGATAAACATGGTTTTGCACACAGCTTTCGGAACTGTTTAAGCTGATTGGTATTTCTTGTAGGAGTTAACAGATGAATTTCACAAATGTGTACGAAATGAGCAAAATGGATTGTAGAATACAAATAGATCACACAAGAAGAGCCTGCATTTTGACATATACACATTTAAAGCTTTAAGTGTTAAATTGTATTTTTCAAATAACAATGTTACCAGGTCCCTGAGGCAATCTAAAATTCTTGCTAAGTATATGGTATCTTTTTAATCTTTCTTTGGTAGAGTAATCATAATAACCTTAAAATGAGAATTTTAGAGTTGCTTGATTTTTCCTTTTAGCAGAATAATGAAATAAGAAGGGATTGATTTTCTTTTGCTTTTAAGACTTGGTGCCCATCGCCTTCTACCAAGAGGTACTGTGATTGCAAAACATCCTGGGAAAGTGTTTCTGTCCATACAGAATGCCTACCGTAGCTGACTGCTGATTTTCAAATTCATTTTATCTAGAGCTGTGCTGTCAGATAGAACTTTCTGTGAAAATGGAAATAGTTTATAATCTGTGTTATCCAATATGGTAGTCATTAGCCACACGGGGCTTTTGAGCCCTCAAAATGTAGTCGGTACAACTGAGGTGCTAAATTTTTAATTTTCTGTAGTTTTAATTAATTTAAACTTAAACAGCCACACATGGCTAGTGGTTACTGGACAGAACAGAATTTCTTTCCACTTTTAGATTTAGTATGCACGTGCCCCTGGAAAAGTTGACTTTAACTTATGAATTAAATATTTGACATATTTCATAAACATTATTGAGTACCTAGTGAGTTTGTGTGCCTGGTGTCAGAAATACGTTTTATTTGGATTTCTTGAATCAGTGTTTTGGGGAAGGTGTGGAGACCTGAGGTATGTCCTCCCCCACACCTGTGTAAACAGGGACGAAGCCGCTGTTTTGACAGGGGCTGTCTCTCTTTCACCCTGAGCCCCACGGCCTACCACAGCGGGGCTGAGGGGGTAACTGGGGGGCTCCTTTTACCTGTCTGTGAACTCTGGCATGCTCAGGGCTGCATCTGTTGGGAGGAAGGATCACCTGTTTGGAATTCTCTCGGAGACATTGTATGGGTTGGTACAGCCCTGTCACTGAAATTTATTCCCTCAGCTTGCTCTACTGTCTTCGTTGCTCCTGACACTTTCCTCAACAAACCCTCTGTGTAAAAAAACCAAACAACTCTTCACAGCTACCCAATACATACGTTTTCTTTTTCTTTTTTTCCACTTTCATTGTTTCAATGAACATGAAACTTAAAGACAGAAAAGCCAAAGGACAATGACAAATAGGTATAATTGACAAGTGGAAATTGTATATATTCAAGGTGGACAACATGATGCTTTGATATAAGTATACATTGTGGAATGAATTAACATATTAACTTATTAACATATCCTTCACCTCACATCGTTACCTGTGTGTGTGTGGTGAGAATACTGAAGATTTCCTCTCTCAGCAAGTTTCAAGTGTACATTATTATTAGCTTGAGTCACCATACTGAACACTGGGTCTCCAGAACTTATTCATGTTGAACACCTTTTCATATGCTTGTTGGCCATTTATATGTCTTCCTTGGAAAAATGTCTATTCAGGTCCTTTGGCTATTTTTTTAAAGTAAGGGCAACCTGCAGAATGGGAAAAAATATTTGCAAGCTATATTATCCAATCAGAGGTTAATATCCAAAATATACGAGGAAGTCATATAAGTCAATAACAACAACAACCCCCCCCCAATAACCCAATTAAAAAATGGGCAAAGGACCTATTTTTTATTTGTTTTTTTTAAAGGTATCTTACCTCCTGGAAGGAGGCAGCATGGCCCATGAAGACTTCTGTGGACACGTTGGTAAAATGAACCCAGGAGACCTGCAGGTATGGCCAAGGACAAGGAATTGCTGGTGGTTTAGTGTTTGGGGGTGCATGCTTGGTCCCAGTTCCAGCACACTCACCCTTTCTACCCTCTCTCCCTTATGTGCTTGACCTTTCCTTTTCTCCAGATCCTTCCACTCAGCCTGGAAACCTGCACAGGTCTCTTGTATTCCTCTTTCACATTTTCCTCAATCTTTCACTTTTTAGTTTCCACCTAGGCTTCTTACATTTCTCAAAAGAGTAACAAAGGGTGACTGTCTCAACTTTCTCATCTTCCATTTTGTCCCCCACTCACTGAAATTAGAGTTAGCTTCTCAGCACACCCCTTCCAAACCTTTACTGAAGCGATTCAGGTAATACTCATTTGTGATGTTCCAGTTGGCAAATTCAGTGACTGCTTCATTCTCCTCTTTCTAGACTTCTCTGCTGCATTTGAGACATTTCCAAATGTCTCAAATATTTCTCTTCCAACTCATTTGCAGGGTTAGGTGTTTTCACTTAAGACAATGACCCAAATTCTTCCACCATTCTAGTTTTGTCTGAGATGTGTTACAACTAAAATCCCCTAACATGTTTGGGTCATCTTTTTCAGTTTTGTAAGTCTGAACTCTATATCAAGTATTTTTCTAGGATTTTATACACACACACACACACACACACAGTGGAATGATGAATGCACATATTTGAATCATGTTATTTCAATGAACTCATGTTCATTGAATTTAAAGACAGAAAAGCAGAAGGACAAAGATTCATGGTGAAAAGTCAACAGTAACCTCTTGGTGGAGCAGAACATGAAATGGAGACTGCCTACAAGGGTAGATATGATGACTGGAGGTGTCCTGATCATGGTAGTTAGTGGTGACTTCTTCCATCTGCACCATCGGGCTGACTCAGCAGCCATCCATGTGAGGTGCTGGTCAACACTTGCTCTATCATTATAATTTCACGTTTGATTAGGATGATGATTGCATAGTGTCTTTCAGTTTATTCAGTGTTTTCATATACACGATCCCTTTGAGATAAGTACTGTTTTTATCTCATTTTAAAAACTAGGGAATGGGGATTTAAAGATGTTTTTAAAGAAGGATGCCCATGGCCTCAGAGCCAATAAATTGGTGGGTCTCCAAATCCAATAGGTGGGCCATTTTAAGAAAGATATTGCCAAACTAGCTTATATATAACTAAAGAGGAAAACCAAGGCATTGAAAATATGAAGAACACTGTTAAGGGAACAGGAAAATGCTTAAAAATTGGAGGATATCATTGAAGGAAACCAATAGCTATTTATCATCAGACAGAGGAAATGCAGCATGAGAGGGTATTTAGATCTACTTTATATTGTATCAGAGCGGGATCAGCACATTTTTTCTATAGTGGCCAGATAGGTTTTGGGGGCCATGTGGTCTCTGTTGCAACTTCTCAACCCCGTCATTGTATCGTGAAAGCAGCCACAGGCAGCACGCCAGCGAATGGGCGAGTGTGTGTGTGCCAGTAAACCTTTACAAAAACAGATGGCAAGCTGCATTGGGCCCTTAGGCTATAGTTTGCCAACCCCTACATCAGAAGGTTTAACAAACCTTTCCAAATAGAAGAGAGAGGGAAATCTATTTAGACTTAACAAAAGAAAGAAATCTTCAAAATATGCATTGACATTTCTGATCTTGGAACTAGTAATGCTCATTCTTGTCTCAAAGTCTTTTTTTTTTTACATGCTGTTGTTGCCTTTGCACTGAATCCTCTTCCCCTTCCCCTGGTCACTTCTTACTCCTTGTTTGGATCTCAGTCTGAAGGCTGCACCCTCCGATAAGCTGCCTTGGACAGGGCAGGCTACTTCACGTACTTACAGAACCCTGTCATCCTTCACAGCACCAAGCGCAATCGTAATGGCAATAATTACTTGCATAATTGTTCGTTTAAGGATTTTTCTCCCCAAAAGGGCCATGTGAAGGATGCTGCTGGTAGGCTGCATCCTACCCCCTTGGCCCACGACTGAGTTCAGGTGGTGATGGTCCCCATGCGTGCACACAGCAGCCCACCTCGAGTGCTGCTACTCTGCCCAAGGGCTTTCTCCAGACCAAGTGGTGGGAATTGAACACTCCCATGGGAACTGGGGTGGGAATCAGAGTCTCAATACCCTCACTTCCTCTCTCCTCCATGCAACAATTCTAAAGTGCATCTCCGTGGTTCCCAGTACCATTGAGCCCCAGGTGTTCACAGTTGTAACCTGCTCGTTCACACTCCTCTTCAGCTTTCCCCCTTGCCTGTCTCACTCTTACTCACTGCTCACTTGTGCTTTCAGCATCACTTTCCAAATCAAGTACCTGCACATAAGTCCTTGACTTGGGATCTTCTATGGGAGATCCCAAGCTAAGATGGGCAGGAAACACATCTAACATGATCCATCCCTTCAACCCCAGATTCTGAGATTAGCATCTGGGACTGCCCCCTGACTCTGCTCTTAATAAAGAAATAGACAAACGCTTGATGAATATATACAATGCTGGAGGCAATTATCGTTTCTCCAAGTAGTGAGGACTCCATTACCGGAATTGAGTAACCAGAGAGGCAAGTCAGCCGTCTGCAGTGTGGTAGATACTGGGGACCTGCAATGGTGTATTTAGGCCCACACATGTGTCCTCCAGCTGCTGGGAATACTGGCTGCTGAGGCTCATGGCTGGATCCCTCCCTGGGCCTGCCCTCTGCAGCAGGGAATTGCCTCTCCCAAAGTTGTGCTTTCTACTTGTGGGTGGCCCACAGTGAATGGCTTGCTGATGTGGAGGTATAAAAACTTGGCCTCCTTGCCTCAAGTTGGGATAATTCTGAAGGTTCATCCCAACTCCACTTAGGATTGGCTAAGCCCTCTGTTGTAACTGCACTGCTGGTTGGCTTCTTCCCCTGCCTGATCCTGCTTTTCTCAAATCTGCCTGCAACCCTCCATCTTAAAGCTCAATCTAAGACTCAAGGATATCAAAGAGGATATTCTTCCATTTGTAGGAATTTCAGTTCTGATGCATTGATTTCAAACGAGGAAGCATAGGAAGCATTTGGACAACTGCAAAGGGCTCTAGCAGTTGTCATTGATGTTGTTTTGTTTTGTTTTGTTTTTTGAGACAGAGTCTCACTTTATTGCCCAGGCTAGAGTGAGTGCCATGGCATCAGCCTAGCTCACAGCAACCTCAATCTCCTGGGCTCAAGCAATCCTCCTGCCTCAGCCTCCCAAGTAGCTGGGACTACAGGCATGCACCACCATGCCCGGCTAATTTTTTGTATATGTATTTTTTAGTTGGTCAATTAATTTATTTCTATTTTTAGTAGAGACGGGGTCTCGCTCATGCTGGTTTCGAACTCTTAACCTTGAGCAATCCTCCCGCCTCGGCCTCCCAGAGTGCTAGGATTACAGGTGTGAGCCACCGTGCCCGGCCTGTCACTGATGTTTGTTATTCCTCTGGATGCCTTGGTAACGCCTTCCTTAGTGACAATGTTGTAATTATTCCACCTGCAGACTTGTTGGGAGCGTAGTTAGCTTTCCTTCTTGTTGGTTTGGTGTTACAGTGGATGACTGCAGGCCGGGGCATCCTGCACGCCGAGATGCCTTGCTCAGAGGAGCCAGCCCATGGCCTACAACTGTGGGTTAATTTGAGGAGCTCAGAGAAGATGGTGGAACCTCAGTACCAGGAACTGAAAAGTGAAGAGATCCCTAAACCCAGTAAAGATGGTGTGACAATTGCTGTCATTTCTGGAGAAGCCATGGGAATAAAGGTAAGCTATGTGTGTCTATGAGACCTGAGGTGGGCAGTGACATAAGGCTGGTCCCTTCTGGGTCACCAACTCTCATTGGGTTTATTGTAATTCACATCCCTTGGGTTGGACTTGCTTCATAGGTATCAGAATAAGTGCAACCTAAGGGAACCCAGAAATTTTTCTGCTGCATGAAAACCCATAAAGTTAGAGAATTATAAGAAAGCAAGCCTATATAAAGAATTTAATCTAAAAGCAATGTTCAAGATATGCCTTAATATGTGTGCTGATTTAGCCCAATTCCTTTCATTATAGTACAATTTTATGCTTTTATTATAGCTCCTTGGAACTATAAGATCACAACCTTTAAAAAAAATCAAAAAGCAAGACCAATGGCACTTCACAAAGAATTATGTAAATGACTTATGCCCAACTTAGTAAGGGAAGCACATTACTACATTACAGAAAGTTTATTTTTTAAAATTAACTTGACCATTATTTATTTAACCCATGCATAACATGCCCTATACATTCTTCTCAACTGAGTACTTTATACTGTTTAGATTAAGGGTCCCACCTTTTTGAGCAAATGAGATAAACTTAGGCTAAAGATTATGGACATATTTGTAGGAGGAAAGGGGTGTGGCAAGTACTGTGTTAATTGCACACCAGAACTACTCTTGGAGAGGCTAGGATTCCTCATCCCAACCAGTTTGAGGCATTGGTGAGTTGGGTAGTGTGCTCTCTTAGGTGGGGTTTCCTAGAAGCAGACCCTGAGATGAGGATTCCTGGTCAAATGATTTTTAAGGGACTGCTCCTGGGAAAATATAAAAGGAACCAGGACAAGGTAGGGGAGGAAGCCAAGCAAGAGTGCCATCTCAGGCAAAGTCCAGAAGAGAGTGGCTTCTGCTTGATCCTGTAGGGGACTGGGGAGGATCAGTATGCCTCAGAGTTGTCCTGACCCACCGTGAGCAAGGGAGCTGGGTTTTCATGTTTCCTCACCTAGCAGTCATTGGTCTTGGCTATCAACTTTGGGATAGAGGGCACAGAAATGGTTAAAAGGGATCCAAGAGGATCTGATTGGGGCCTTGACATCAAGTATCACACATGGCACCTGGCATTGAGAATATTAAGATATTGGGAGCTGCTTTGCCATTCTCCCAGTGGTAACCAGCACTTAAAACTATTTTAAGTACTAACTTAGTAAATTTTAATTTTTTAATCACTTCAGTACGGTGCTCACTGGCCGCAAAACTTTGCCCACAGCCGGCACTCATAGCCCGCACGATAGTTTGTGCTGTGCATTGATGATTAATCCATTTTGCTCTTGTGTGATGAGGAAAGCTTTAAAGCACTGAAAGCTTGTTTTACTTTACAGGCAGCTTTGCTTGTAATGTAAATCAGAATAGGTAACATATACATATATGTTTTCATTATGTTACTTTTAAATGTTCACAATTTTATTTTGATAAATGAAAAATTAGAAAAGTCATATCATAGCTGTAGGCTAAAGTCGACTCGGCGTTCATCTGTGGCTGTCAACTATAGTCGGCGCTCGTACCCAAGTGGTTTAATGTGCATCCCCAAGGCTAAGGGCTTGGTAGTGACTACTAACCAGCCACTCAATGGAATGCATTGCATAGTTAACAGAGAGGTCATGACTATTGGTTGGGACTTACGATTTTTGTATTTCCTGCACTATAACCACAATTCTTTACTTACACCATGCCTAGGTGTATGTATTATTTTGCTTTGTGTTTCTAATGCAAACGGAAGTAATTGAAGGAAAAAAATAATCTAAGGTTTGCTCCCTATTCAGCAAATCTGACTGCTGCCCACACCCCTGGCGGGCCTATTGCTTATTTTGCTGTTGGAAACAAACCTCTGTTGTGTTCCTGGGAGCTTTTTCTATTTCGCCAAGCACTGGGCAGCGAGTGCCCTTTTTCATCTGTTTGCGAAGAGTTGTCTTCCCTTCAGCTCTGCAGAAGAGAGTTAAGATCCTGTGAGGTCTTCCTGGTGTGAGGCCAAAGGACGCGGTTGGGTGTAGTATCAGGCAGAGAGGTCTAAGGGGAGCTGAGTTAATGCAGATGTGAAGCTGCTCACTCTGTCTCACATGGTGTTTTTCATTCCGGGTTTCCAGGACTCGAGGGGATATTGAGCCACATGAAGAGTGAGGTCCGGAGGTCCCCCACCCCCACTTCCACCAGAGCACAAGACTTTGCCCAGATTGTGTATTTGAAATTGTCCATAAGATTTCATGTAGAAAAATTGTTGAGCTGTCAGGAGCTAAAAAGAGAAATCAGACCAGTGATTTAATAGATAAGCAAAGCCAGCAATATCATGAATTCTTAGAGTTTACAACTGCATCTCATTTATTGAAAACATAAGGCAATTTTAAGGTTGGAGCTGGTTCCAGGTACAATCAGAAGCATATTTTAAAGCATTTTCAAGCCACAGACCATGTGGTCTTGCAATCACAACCAAGGATTAGAGACCTGAGGTAATGTTTTAACTTTGGAAAATAATATCTTAGTAGCTGCAAACCTCTATTATTTATTTTTGTCAAGTAAAATCTCTGAAGTGAATCATATTCTCCTAAGTCAATGATAAATCATTATTATGAGAGCATTTTAATAATAATGCCATTTGGAACCTTGGCAGCATTAATTTGGATTTCGAAAGGCAGCAAGCTGCCATGGTTTTTGGTGTGGACTCTGGAGACAGAATGCCTGGGTTAGAATCCCTACCATGAACGGGCTGTGTGGCCTTGGGCAAGCCACTTAACCTCTCTGTGCCTCAGTTTCCTCATCCATAAAATAGGGTTTCTGCGAGGATTAAGTGACTTTTTTATACATTAAGCTCTCAGAATAGCTCCAGACACACTGTAAACACCATGTAAGTGGTAGCTGTTATTATTATTTTGATTACTTCATGGTAACTCAAGCAGGAGCAGGAGCTGGGCTGAGATTTATGCCTGCAGTCTATGCTAAAGGGATGTGCTGCGATTTGGGAAAGGTAATTAACCTGCCCTGAAGAAAGGACACTAGTGTGAGTCATTGTAAAGATGGGGGGGCGATTGGCCATTTCTGGGTAGGTCTCATAAGAAACATAGTTTTGCACATCTGAAGCCTTAATATCTGCTCACCAAGGAATAACTGGGTCTTAAAATGGATAGATCCACCATAAAAACAATCTGAAGATTGTTTTGCATCAGGAAGATAATTTTAAGTTAAATTATGAGGTGAGGCTGGGAATATACCTTTCAAGCGAGGGATATATTTATAACCAACATAGAATCAACAACAACCCCCCTCACTGCAACTAAAATATCTAGTTGGAATTAGTAATGAGTGGAAGTGGAAGTAGTGACTATTCATTCTAATGCTTCTCTGACTTTAATATTTATTTGGATTACCCGAGGGTCTTGATACAATACAGATTCTGATTCGGCAGGTCTGGAGTGGGGTCTGAGATTCTGCATTTTTAACAGGCTCCCAGGTGATGCTGGGTGATGCTGTGGTCTGGGGGCCACTCTTTGTAACACGCACCGGCATGAGATTGAAGACGAAGCAGTTTACCCATCTTGAGAACAGTTTGATTAGACTCCTGTAGAAGGTGTTAAATGGTCTGGTTCTGTGGCTTTTGACAAATCTTATTTAACCTTTTAGAACTTTAGTTCCTACATCCACAAAAAAAAAAAAATGTGGGGGGATTTAGTGCCAGTTGCTGTATGCCTTTATGAGCAACAACGCTTGTGTTTTTGATATTCCCAAAGGTAGGTGCGTGCCTGTTTCCCAGGTTGTATGTGTCTGAGCATTTATTCAGTCTTTGGAGAGCCAGAGCCAATTTTGAGCGAGATTCTGCCAGGACAGCACAGTTTAAAGTGAAGGCTGAAACGGGAGAAAATATAAAAATGGCATAGTTTGAATAGTTTCTGTCACGTCTGGAAGGTCAAAATCACATGTTTATTTCATGAGAGTATTAAATTCTCCAAACCTCATTCCATCCTTATCATTCAGCCAATCAGCAATATTTATTACCAGCTCTTTTTGGAACATAATTCTTTTTCCAAAAAACGCCTCTACTTGCCTCTTGCTGTTCTAAATTCCGTTGTCAGATGCAAACCTTGAGGAGGCCTCAGCCCCACTGGGGTCAGAGAAAGGCAATCTGGAGCCAGATGGCCTTGGTTCAAGGCCAGCTCCACCACTGACTCACTCTGGAGAAGTCGCTTAAGCTTGCTGGGCCTCCATTTTCTCATCTGTAAAATGGAAATAATCCTGATGACCCAGCTCAGAGGGTTGTTGGGAGGATTAAATTGGTTAATATATGTAAAGTACTAAGAACTGGTGCAGAGTGAGCTCTTTATAGGTGGTTGCTATTTTTACTTCCACGAAAAAGCTTTGGGTTGTGTTCATGTGTCCTACAGACATAACGAAAACAATCTTTTTTCTGATGGGCAGATGAATACAATATTCATATATTGGATGGTAACTAAGTTTTTCAAAATTTAATTTCCAAAGTAGTTTGCCAAACATTAAAATGTTTTTAAACATTTACATTACAATGCAATTCACTCAGCTCTTACATACTGCTGTGTCCTCAGCACCTGAAACATACATAAAAGATGATCAATAAATATTTTCAAATGAGTAAATGAAATCATTAAAATTCTGGAATAAGAGAAACTAAGGTAAAGTAGTAAGAAGACAGACAATATAGGGATTAAGAAGGATTGAAATGAGCTTAAAATGAGCTTACTCAAAAATTAAGAGAACAATAAAATTAGCTAAATTACATGTTAAAGTGTTTAGGGGATTAGGACGTAGGGAAATAAAAACCAGATTGATTTTTTTCTTTAAATGTGAACTGTTTGTGCAAGGCCTAAATTGTTCCCTGCAGGTTTCTTCAATTCAGGCAGTGACAGCAATGGTGGCCAGAGGCTTGGAGGCTTGTGGCTCCCCTTGGGGTCCACAGACAGGTGTTGTCTTGCCTGCTTTAACTTCGTCCATGTGGCTTTTCGG